TAGGGATTTGGTTGGCTGCATATGGGTTAGAAACATTTTTTAAATCATTTTGTCAAACCCTATGCGTTAGACTCATGGACTTTGAATGTCATTTTCGATTTTTCCGAATGTGTCACATACAGTGGTGAAGCCACATAAGGGCGAGGAATGGCAGCCGCCACTCCCCTCATCGGAAAAACAAGATTGGAGCATTGGTTTTGCCCCTCCCCTGCTAGAAAACCCATTGGTTCTGCTGCTATTGCTCTGGTGGTCTGTCTGGTTCTGCTAGTTGACTTCATTTTTTTTAAAACAATCAGGCTAAAACGATGTCGTTTTGGTCTTGGTAAAAAATAAATAAATAAATAAATGAAACGGCGCCGTTTTGATAAGTTGGAAGAAAAAAAAATCATATAGAGGGACCGTGTGTCCCTCATTCATTCAATCTCTCAATTTCCTCTCCCCATGTCGTTTTCCCCTTTTCATCCTCCAATCAGAGCAGCGTGCAGTCGTTACCCCTATTTCGAAGTAGAAAACGGAATGGTTAACTGGTTAAGGAACTAGTCAGCACAGCATAACAACACAGCAAAGTGTAGCCACTACAGTCTACAGGGCAGCCCTTCAAACCCATTATTTAGGTAAATTTTTTAATTCCTAAATTTATAATCCCTAACCCTAATTAATTATTTAAAACGAATTTTGTTTATTTGGTATAAAATCATATAGTAAAGCACTCAATGCACTAATATGGTTGTTGGTTATTGATTATTGATATGAAATTATGAAAATATTTTTTAGGGTAAAAATTAAAATTTGAATTCTCAATTATTGATTAATTAATTGAATTATTACATAATGTATTATGTATACAATTATTCATATGATTAGTTGAATTGAATTTTTATTTATCGAATAATTTGTATGCTTATTGGTATTGATTAATTGAATTGTTGGTTGGATTAGTTATTATGCATACTATAGTATAGTCTACTCTAGGATTAAGAGTCTAATTTTCTTTCCATTTTACAGTTACGTAATGGAACGATACTATAAGAAAAAAATGCTTAAATCCTCATTCAAAAATTTCGGGTAGTCCTTCTCCTTCAAATATTCCGAGTAGTCCTCATCCTCCTTCAAATATTCCAAGAAGTCCTCATTCAAATATTCCTAGTAGTTCACAATAAAGTGAGGCCATTGAGTTGGATGAAATATTGGCTAATCTTCCTGAAGACCCTGTATATAGATATCGAATGCTTGATTATTCACCTAATTATCGTGAAGCAATTCGTAGACACTATCTCCAAAATGATCCTCGTCAACCTAGAGACCACATCATGCCAAGAAAAGTTAGTGACAAAAGATGTTTTATCATTGGTTGGTTTGATAAGTTTAAGTGGTTGGAGTATAGTAAATCAAAAAATGATGCATTTTGCCGTTATTGCTATCTTTTCAAATGTGATTTCGATCAAATGGGTAGCATTGAAAGTGATGTCTTCACTGAGAAAGGGTTTACAAATTGGAAGAAAGGACTCGAAAATCTTCGAGTCCATGAGGGAGATGTTGGAAGTCTTCATAATAAAGCTGTACAACAAGCTAGAGATTTGATAGCACAAAAACAACACATTGAAACATTTGTGAGTAAGCAAACCGATGAAGCTTGCATTAATTATCGTACTTTATTGAATGCCTCACTTGAGTGTACAAGATGGTTGTTGGGACAAGGTTTGCCTTTTCGTGGCCACGATGAATCGTTCAAATCAAGCAATAGAGATAATTATTTGGAGTTTATGCAATTTCTTTCCAAGCATAATGAGCAAGTTAGGAAAGTTGTGTTTGAGAATACTCCCAAGAATCTTAAGTATACTTCTTCCGATATTCAAAAAGATCTTGTCCATGCTTGTGCCATTGAAACTATAGATGCAATCACTAAAGATATGGAAGGTGCATTTTTTTTCTCTTTTGGTTGATGGATCACGTGATTCTTCAACTAAAGAGCAAATGGCGGTGGTATTGCGTTATGTGAACAAAAAAGGAGAAGCAATTGAAATTTTTTTGAGTGCGCAACATGTCATCTCTACAACTAGTAACTAACTTGAAGAGGCTATTGAGAGATTTTTTGCTACAACAAATTTGAATATGTCCAAGTTACAGGGACAAGGCTATGATGGAGCTAGTAATATGAAAGGTGAGCTAAATGGTCTTAGAACAAAGATTTTGAACAAGCGTCCTCAAGCATTTTATGTTTATTGTTTTGCACACCAACTGCAACTAGCTCTTGTAGCCATTGCAAAGGGAATTGAGGGTGTCACAATTTTCTTCAACAATGCTAGTATCTTGGTCAATACTATTGGATCATTGTGTAAGTGTGTCATGATGCATTTAGAGAGAAACAACTATAACAAATTAGGAAAGCTCTTGATATTGGTGATCTTGAAACGGGTAGAGGGTTAAATCAAGAGAGTAGTCTCATGCGTCCTTGTGATACACATTGGAACTCACATTATAGTACTATAGTGAGAATTATTGTCATGTTTGAAGCTGTGGTGGAGGTGCTTGAATGGATTAAAGATGAAACCAACCAAGAAAATTTCGGAGAAGCAAGTAAGTTATTCCATGACATACAACTTTTGATTTTGTGTTTCACCTTTTTTTTATGAGACTCATATTGGGAATTACAAATGAGTTATCATAAGCATTACAAAAGAAAGATCAAGATATTGTGAATGCGATGACGTTAGTGGAAGTATGCAAGCAAAGACTACAATCTTGAAAGACGATGATTTTGGGGACTTGCTTGATGATGTACAAAAGTTTTGTGAAGAACATGATATTGTCATTCCTAACATGGAGGATTTGCATTTTGTACCCAGAAAATCAAGGCGTAAAGCTCCAAGACTTATAAACTTCCATAACTATCGTGTGGACCTCTATTTTCAAGTCCTTGATACGCAATTAAAGGAATTGAATGATTGCATTGATGAGGTAAATACCAAATTGCTTCTTTGTATGGTATGTTTGAGTCCGGTGAATAATTTTACATCTTTTGACAAAGCAAAAATTGTTCGTCTAGCCCAACTTTATCCTCAAGATTTTGATGGTATGGACCTCATAAATCTTCCCATTCAACTTGACAATTACATTCATGATATGAAGATGCATAGTGAGTTTTCATCATTGAGAGGAATTGGTGATCTTACAAAGGAGTTGGTGAAGATCGGAAGGTGTGCAAACTATATGTTAGTGTATAAGCTTCTTACATTAGCTTTGGTGTTACCGGTTGCAATCGCTTCGGTAGAGAGAGCTTTTTCTGCTATGAAGATTGTGAAAACACCATTGCGTAACAAATAGAAGATCAATGGTTGAGTGATAGCATGCTTGTTTACATTGAGAGAGATGTATTTGCTTTTATTGATAATGAGCCTAGTATGTGACATTTTCATGATATGAAACCTCCCAATAATTGTAATTTGTTTGTATTGATAAATTATGGAAGACATTACTATATAAAATGATTTGGTTGTTGCTATTCTTTTGAACCTTACAATCTTTTAACTTCGCCCTTCCCCCCGTCAAATCTTGGCTTCGCCACTGGTCGCACTTATTGCATGTGGTGATGACCTGTTGTTGTTTGGATGGGATATTTTGCATGTGTGCAATATCCCTTGTGTGCACCCCGCTGCGTTATGGTCTTGGTAGTTACTATATTTTACTTGGTCATCATGCATTGTTGGTTTATAGTAATGTTCAGGTAATCACTTACCACTCCACTCTCTCTTATTTACCCACCATCACTTCTCTCTTCATTTCTCACCGAATCTCTCTCTTTCACACACACTCCACTCTCTCTTGTATTATGTGTATAATGCTACCATAAAAAGTGACAGTGGAGGTTGTCTAGAGAAATATATTGGCGCTAATACTGAATGATATTCATGTGGAGGTTGAGATAGGAGGACCTCAATTTTGTTAGATTTTAGATGATGTTATCTTGTAAAATGTTAGACAACTTCATTCACTTAATATTATCTAGTTAAATTCATTCTATTTTCTCTTCAGATATTGTTTCTAATCTTAATACCTCACCCAATTCGTGAACTTGAGTTAATGTTTTTTTTTCCAAATTTCTTCTCAACTGATGCAGTTTAAGGTTTATTAATTATAGATCGATATAATTAGTATGTGAGTGGGCAAGAACCCGTATGTAATTCATATGAAAAAAAAAATCAATTCTTTTTAAATAAATTTGGTATAGGGCACGTTTACACAAAAGTGCCCAATCAATTGAGAATGTTTGTCAGACCTGTCAGAATGAAGGCACAAATAAGGCTCTATTTTGTTTTACCTTAATAACACAAACAACTATATTGTGCCCTTTGACCAAAGGACACACTCATAAAGGGCACGCATAGAATTATTGTTGTCGCACTGTTGCTATTTGTCTATGAGCAAATATGTTGGTGCTCTTTGACCTCAAAGGACACAAATAATTTATTGTGCGTGCCCATATTTTTTTGTAGTGTCAAGTGCTATGCATATATATGCAACCGGAGAACTTGTCTAACGACCGATTTCAGCAATCTTGGTCCAAGATTTCAGAGATTTGTCATCGTAGTCAATTTCATACAATGCAAAGTGAGTTACGGGGAAGGTCAAGCTAGTAATGCTTTCGTCGAGAATATTAACAATTTCACCAGTTTTTTTCCTTTCTTCTTCCGTCAACTTCCCATGGAGAAGACTCAAATATGGCATAGAACCTGCATCAAATATTGCAGACACACAGATTACGTACGTACATTGCCGTCAACACGAGAAGAAATTAAGTTACTGTAAACAACAACTTACTATTGTAGAAACCGCAATGGTAGCTCCAACGTTGGGCATTTTCAAATAACTAAGAAAAGAAGGTTTAATGATAAGTGAGTCTATTCAAGCTCAAGAAACCAAAACGAGAAAGATGAAAAGGAAACAAAACATCAAGAAAATGAATATGTATTAACAAGATAATGGAAAGCCACCTCATGGTTCTATGTGAGACCCGTGGAACCAATGGAAGGGATGCTATATAATCTTATGGTTAATTTTTCCATGACACGGCATAAGCTACCCATACTAGAAGTCATACTACAAGAAAATGACATGTGCAAGTGAGTACCTTGGAAAGATTTAGCGGAGGGGGTAATATTGTACACCTAGTGTTCAATAAACACCTCTCTGACATATCCCTCCCTCTTATGAGAGCTAAGGAGTCTTCTATATACTGGAGGAGCCCATATATGCGACATCTCTCTCATATTCTCACTTAACAAAGTTGCTAACTTCATAACAGCCAGTCACAATAACATAAGGCATATTCAGAAGAATTAGTATGAAAACAACGCTATTTAAAACGCATGATACTTGCGATGTATTACCTGAATAGCCTCAAAAGTAGTCGACAAAGAACCGATAGGATTGTCAATGGCATGAACAATCGCAAGCAAAAGAGAATGGAAATGGGCAGCTAAAAGTGGTGTACTCAATTGTTGGATAGATATGCACCACACCCCTAAATTGCAAACAGACTGCAGTTATGAAATCAGCAGGTTAATATTCGGACACACACGCGAAAAAATAAAAACTAAAAACACAAAAAGATTATCGCTTTTAGTAATAAATTCCGTTAATATAAAGAAATAACCTTCATTTTCGTGGTTGTAATGAGCTTTGCCAGTGAATCTAAAACAAATTTGACATCATCCGCTGCGAAACAAAGAAATTGGTGACAGAAATTTGGTTATCAGTTTAAGCTCAGCTGCCTAAAAAGTTCAAAATTTTAATTTCAAACGAATCAGATTTTTGAGTGGCTACATGTACCTGCGATTTCGGCGACGATGGACGGATGATATATCATAAAGCCCAAGCATTTCAATGCCTGAGTTGCACTGCAATTTTTTTAAATAAAAAAAAAAATCCAAGACGTATTCAGTTACACCATACCATTAAAATAAATGAAAAACCCAGAAAAATGACATTTCGAATCGGAAGAACTCACATTTCTTCGTCATTGTTCCGAACATCGGCGACGGTCGGACGGATGAGGCTCCGGCTGCTCCGCGCAAGCATTTGAATTAAATCGTGGCAGTCGGAGGATTGCTGCTGGAGGTGTAAGAGGGTGGAGTAGGCGAATGACTTGTTTGCTTTGGTGGCGGCTGAAGATATCAGGGATTTGATTTCTTCGAGCTGGTCTGAAAATCCGGACATCGTTGCGGTGGGGGAGAGGAAGCAGCAGTGCCCAGACCACCGGTAGTATGTGAGGTGAAACCCTAATGTCGCACTGGATTTTTGGAATTGGGAGTCTTTTCGCGCCATAGCGCGGAAAAGGGTGACGGGTTTATCAACTTGGGACCTGTTGGGCTTTAGGCCTAAATAAATGGAAAGAAATATTTCAAGTGTTTTTAGAACTCAAAAATATTTCTTTAAAAGCGTTTTTAATTGCTAGTACTTGTTAAACGAGTCCTAAGTCCCATTAGGCCTGGCAAACGGGTTGTGTCTGTCGTATTCGTATCATTTTCGTATAACACCTGTTATCTTAACAGGTCGTATCATGTCACACCCATTATCTTAACGGATCCTTAGGATAAAGTGACCCGACCAGTTATGACCCGTTAAGAAAAATATATTTTTTTTCTTAAATTTGCACATGCCACACATTGCCACATAAATATTACTTCAAAACATTAAAACACATTTGTCATTTAAGTACTACATCTACACTAAAAAATAAGAGCCTAATAAACAAATATCCATACACTACTAGTCTATTACAAAATATTAAATGTGCAAGGATATGCAAAAAGAAAGAGTTTTTGTTTTCAAGGTTGTGAAGCCTTTCTCAAAAGTTTAAACCTTAGCAATGGAACTCAAAGCTTGCATGTTATTCCTTTTACAAAATGCTCAATTTTCATCGATCAGCATGACATAAGATTTTGTGGCATCCACTTGTGTAAATATTTTAAATTGACGATTAAATTAGTTCATTGTATTCATATAGGATCAGGGAGTGTAACTTTTAAAAATCATCAAAATCGAAGTTAAAATAACCGTTAAATCATGATTTTTAGTTTATAATCGTCGAAACGTTTTGTCTCATTACTTGATCTCTGAATGTTCGTTTTTTTCAATTTTTGGCGTATGTGATCTTGAAGTATATACAAATATGTTTGATGGTTGGATCGTTGAAATTAGTTTCGTAGAATGTGTATTCCATCAAAACAATAGATTCACTAACACTTAAGAGTTTATTTATACTTTCATTAAGTATAACATAAGATTTTGTGGTATCCACTAGTGTAAATATTTTAAATTGAAGATCAAGTTCATTCATTGTATTCATATAGGGTCAAGGAGTGTAGCTGTAAAAAATCATCAAAATTGAAGTTAAAATAACTGTTAAATCGTGATTTTTCTTTGATAACCGTCAAAAAGTTTTGTCCCGTTACTTGATCTCTGAATGTTTTTTTTCAATTTTTGGCGTATGCGATCTCATATACAAACAAGTTTGACGGTTGGATCGTTGAAATTAGTTTCGTAGAATGCATATCCCATCAAAACGATAGATTCACTAACACTTAGAGTTTATTTATACTTTCATTAAGTATAACATAAGATTTTGTGGTATCTACTAGTGTAAATATTTTAAATTGATGATCAAATTCATTCATTGTATTCATAGATGGTCAAGGAATGTAGTTGTAAAAAATCATCCAAATCGGAGTTAAAGTAACCGTTAAATCGTGATTTTTCATTTACAACCGTCCAAAAGTTTTGTCCCGTTACTTGATCTCTGAATGTTTATTTTGTACATATAACACTTAAGAAATTATGATATGTATATTTAAGCCGATCCAATGGTCACCAATCACCCTTACCCAACCCTAACAAGTGGAATTGCACAAAAGTAAGGACATTTCACTTTTCAAAAGACAATTTACCTACATGCATCTATACCTTTGCCTTGTCTTTGCGCTCTAAATGAGTGGACTTGTTCTTAAGAATGCCCTCGGTGATATATCGGCCCTGGGTCTTGACTTGACATATAATTGTGTGAGATATCATTTTGGAGTCTCGTTACTGGCTCATTTGTTAAGACCTGTCTTATTGAGTTTTTCAGTATTGATCACTATTGGTTTCTTACATTGAGTAGGTTAATCGAGCATGAGCTGTTTGGACCTTGTCATAAAGTCGCTTGAAGTTTGTTGAGGGAACTTGAGGGCTAGGGTCATGCGTGAGGCTTGTTGGAACATCGATTTCTTCTTTCATAGAAGCCACAGTTAAAGACTCGATAATGATCAAGTTGAACAGATTAGATCCCATCACTATTTGACAAATGGAGTTGATCATAACAGCCAGAATGCTACAGCCTTAATGACTTCGTGAGCTTCAATAGCTTTTGCTTCTTTATTTTGTTGGACATGGTCTTCTTCATTTGAGTCCTAGATGTTAGGAGTAATGAAGGTTCACAATCTTATCAAAGATGTGAAGCACCAGATTAGTGCTTTGGTCTATATGTTAGTTAAGGAAGGTTAAGGAAGTGATGAGTCAGCATAAGTTATTGACCTACGTATTTATGTATAAATACTCAATGTACACAGATCTGAGATTAATGGAAAATACATTTCACATAATTCTTTCTCTCTCTATATTTCCCTCTCTTTCTCTCTCTCTCAAGTCCTAATTCCTTACCTGCTAAGATTCTATTTTCTACATGGTGTCATCGTCGGAGTCCACTGACGTTGATCTTCTGCTTCTGCGTTCTTGATTTTCTTGCATTTTCTCACCTGCTAAACAGATCTTGTCTCAATTCTTTCTTCAATTCTTTGTGTGATTCGCTATGGCTACAGCAGCGAACTCCTCAACTCTTCTCCCTCTGCAAATTCTTCACCTTCTGCTCCTCACGCTGTGGTTTCCAATCTTTTCCTTGCTTCAATTGCCTCAGTCACTGTTCAGAACATCGCCGGTATGGTTCCGACAAAGTTGACTCGTCACAATTACTTTACCTGACGCAGTTTATTTCTTTTAGTTCTGAAGCGATTTAAGCTTTTAAGGCTTATCAATGGCACCGATGTATGCCCCTCTCAATTTGTTTGTGATTCTGCTGGACTTCGTGTTCTTAATTCAGCGCATGACATTTGGTGTGAACGAGATTAAATCTTGATGATTTGGATTAATTCAACTCTCTCGGAAGATCTTCTCCCTCTGACTATTGGTATGGATGATTCTAGATCTCTCTGGCTTTCTCTGGAAAAACATTTTGCTGGAGCTTCTCGTACACACATTCATAGTTTTCGTGCTAAGATTCAAATGATTCAAAAAGGTGATTCTTCGATGACTGATTATCTCAATTCAATTAAAGAAATTTATGATAAATTGGCTGTTGCGGGTGAGCTGATTTCTGAGTCTGATTTGGTAGCCTATATTCTGTCTGGTCTTCCTGATGATTACGAGTCATTTGTTGACTCTATCGAAACTAGAAATGAGTCCATAACCTCTGATGAACTTCATGGTTTACTCTTGAGCAAGGAACTTTCTCTTCAAAAGCGTAAGACTCGATTAACTGCGTCTAATACATCTGCTCCATTTCATGCTCTTGCTGCTCAATCCTCCACTACTTCTGGTCACCACTCTAGATTATGAGGGAATTATCGAGGTCGTAATCAAAATCGAAACAGATTCCATCAAAATCGTAATTTTGGGGGCAATCGCTTCACCAATCAAAATGGTGGAATTCTTGGTGCTGGTCCATCTCGATCTAGTGGTTTTCAATCTAATCAATCAAATTTCTCCACTGGGAAATCAAATCCATGTCAGTTATGTAATCAACATGGTCATCAAGCTTTTCAGTGTGGCCGACACTCTCAATTTGCTTCTTCAATGCCTTCAGCCTACTCTCCTAAGGCTATGACTGCAGTACATCAGGCTACACCAAATTACTAGGTCACAGACAGTGGTGCTTCTCACCATGTTACTCCAGATCCTTCTTCTCTCAATTCTGTCATTCCTTACACTAGCAGTAAGCAACTATTTGTTGGTGATGGTAAAGGTCTATGTATATCTCATATTGGTCAAGCTTTTATACGCACATTTAATGTTGTTTTTAGACCTAAAGATGTCCTACTTGTCCCTCAAGCTTCGCATAAATTGTTGTCTGTGTACAAATTTGTTCATGATAACTGGTACTCTCTAACATTTGATCCTTTTGGATTCTACATCAAGGATCTAAGAACTGGGAAGATGCTCTTTCGGGGCCCCAGTGAAGGTGGTCTCTATCCATTGTACATGAATGCTTTTAATGTTTTTTCTGGGATAACAATATCTTCTCGTGCGCTAATGGTTGCAAAGGTTGACATTTCTCTTTGCCATAGAAGGCTTGGACATCCTTCTAATGCAGTTTTACATTCTGTTTTACGCACTCATCATTTACCTGTAATTGGTTCAGTCAATAAATTGTCCATTTGTGCAGCTTGTCAATGGGTAAAGCTTCTAAGCTCCCATTCTCTGTGTTGCCTTGTATCTCAGTCAAGCCTTTTCATTTGGTTCATGCTGATGTATGGGGACCTTCTCCTACTTCCTCTTGTACTAGTTACAGATACTACTTAATACTAGTGGATGATTTCACAAAATACAGTTGGTTATATCATTTATTTCTCAAATCGGATGTTACTTTAGTTCTCAAGACTTTTATTCTCAAAGTTCAAACACTTTTTGCATCCAAAGTTCAATGTTTGAGATCAGATTTAGGGGGTGAGTTTTTAAGCAACGAACTTCAGGGTTTCTTTAATGCTCAAGGTATTACTCATCAGCTGAGTTGTCCTCACACACTTGAACAAAATGGGTGTGCTGAGAGGAAACATCGTTATGTTGTTGAAATGGGTAAGACTTGACTCTCTGAGAGTGGTTTACCTCTTAAATTTTGGGTTGAAGCTTTTCAAACAGCAGTTTATCTCATAAATAGGTTACCACCACAGACTTCTATCTTGAGCCCATGGGAAAAATTGTTTCAAGCCTCACCATAATATCATACATTGAAACATTTTGGTTGTGCATGTTATCCATGGCTTAAACCTTACTCCAGTCACAAGTTAGAAACTAAGAGCAAACTGTGCATTTTTCTGGGATACAGTTTAAATCACAATGGCTACAGGTGTTATGATCATATCACTGAGAAACTTTACATCTCTCAGCATGTTGTATTTGATGGGAGTTACTTTCCTTACCTTCATCACAATTTCTTAG